GGAGATATGGGCCTTGTGAGTGCGTCCCTCTACCCCCAGGTGTTACTATTGATTTGTGTGAACTATTAGGCCAGAGAGGAGTGCAAGGGATGTAGCAGTATAAACCCTAGTATGGAGAACCCAGGAAAGAAGCCAGAATAGAAAAACCAACTGGGGGATAAAAAAGATGTTGTAGAAGAGTTTCCAGAAGGGAAGCAATGCTGGATGTTACTGGGACCAGCCTGTCATCCCTGGTGCCTGGGAGGCTGAGGCGGGAGTGTTGCAAGTTCAAGGACAGCTGGACAACTCCATAATACCCTGTCTCAATTTTTTCTTTAAAGGGGTGGAGTTTGGGCCACAGTACAATTATTTACCTATCATTTGGGAAGTCTGGTTTCCGCCTCTCCCCAAATGGACTGAATCCACATGGATTGTGAAGATTTATCTATTTTTTAAAAATTGGGCTGTTTTTTTTGCTCTTGATATTTAGAATATTTTATGTATTCTATAATAAAACCCTTGCCAGAAGTGTATTTAGCAAATGTTGTCTCCCATCTTTTTCAAATCTTCAGCTTCATTTGACACAATCCATCACTCCTTTTGTGGGGCAAAGGGAAGGAACCCAGGCTCCCCACACGCTAGGCAAGCACTTTCTTACTGGGTTATATCATAAGCCCTCATCTTTAGTGAACGGTTTTAGAGAGGGCATCACCAAGTTGCCCAGCTTTCTTTAAACTCACTATGTAGCCTAGGATGTCCTTCCAATCCCCCTGCCTCAACCTCTCAAGTACCTGGGATTACGGGCATATGCTAGCAGGCTCAGCACTCCCTCTTAGCTTCTAGGACACCTCCTTTTCTGTGTTCCCCCCATTTCTCTTTTATATTCTAAATGTTGGGTTTCCCAGTATTCTACCCACTTTATGCATCACGATCTTAAACCAGCATCCTGTTAGCAATGTCTCATGGGTACCTCCAGCCTCAGCTTCTTCTATGAGTGTCTCAGCCGGCCACATAACACTTCAGTTTAGATGTTGTTTTAGCTTCCTTTCATTTTATAAACAATAGACGTTTATTTGGTTCACCATTCTGGAGGCTGATAAGTTCAAAAACATGACAACTGCATCTGATGGGGGCCTCCGTGTTACCTTTTAACGTGACAGGAGGGCCAGCAAGCTTACACAACAGCATGGCTCGCTAACCACCCTGAAAAGCCTTGTGTCTTCATACAGTAACAGTGGCATTTCAGTGTCATCACGGGTGCTGGGGGAGCCTTTCAGACCATAGCAGATGACTGTCAAGCTGCTCCGCATTAGCAGGGAGGAAGTAGCTAACCCGCTCCCCTGTCTTCTCAGGGGGTGCCAGTTCCCTAAACTCCTGGGCAGATGCTGTAGCCATTCTCCAGGTGTCTGGTTGCTAACACCTTCATAGACGTCTTGATCGATACCTTCGCGGGCATCTTGATCGATACCTTCGCGGGCATCTTGATCTGCCTGCCTGCCTGCTTTGCTTCAACCATCGTTTGTACGTCAGCCCCTGCAGCACTCTCCTCACCGGACATTCCTGCTCTTTTACCTCCCACACTCTGATCACCACTCTAACACGTCCGTTTCTAAAACACAGCCACCTCACACTCCTCCCAGCGGCCTTTGAGCTCCCTTCTCCTCCTGGCTGATATGATTCTCCCCTCCCCGCCCCCCCTTTTTTTAATTTTTTCAGATAGGGTCTGACTATGGAGATCTGGCTGTTCTGCAACTCACTCTGTAAACCAGGCTGAACTCACAGAGATCATCCCCCTGCCTCTGCCTACTGAGTGTTGGGGTTAAAGGCGTGCACCACCACATCCAGATGATATAATTAATCCTCTTTCTGGGTTTGGCAGGGCTTCCTCCACACGAAGATCACGTTCGGAGATTACTTTCAACTAAAGTAGCACCTGTGGCCAACTCAGGTGCTTTTGATCCCCTTTCCTTGTCTTAATCCAGAATGCTCAGCACCACCTGACATATTTCCTCTTGTTGATAGACTTCTTGATACCTCCACTAGAATCCAGGCAGTCCTAGAAAATCGTGAGTCTGAAGGTCACTCATCTACATGGCCATTTTACACTTAGATCTACTTTACACTCTTTTCACTGTGAGGGGAAGGTTTTTGTGTTGATTCTTATTTCCCACTGATCTCTACTATCAGTAATTTTTTTCATGGAGAAAAATGACCGCAATATTAAATTTAAAATTTACCAAGGACAATAATATCTACTATGTGACAGTAAGCAATTAATTCTCCCATAGAGCTCACGGAAGAAATCAGTCATTCCGACAGCTGAATGTGAGAACGGCTGGCAGCATGTGTACAGCCAGCCAGACCGCAGCAGTGACTGAATGCTGTACTGAATACCACACAGCATAGGATGATCAGGGGATGATGGCGCTGTGTCCTGCAGCCAGTGTCTGGAAAACCGTACAAATGGTCTAACGAATTCCTTCCCCTAGATTTCACTCTTTCTGTGGAATGGGGAATTCCTTTGGAGTTTAATACATGCAAAACATATCATAGTTAGAACTCATTCTTCTTAAGACGTGCAGAGAAGGGGCTGGAGAGATGACTCAGCAGCTAAGAGCACCAGCTGCTCTTCCAGAGGACCCGGGTTCAATTCCTAGCACCCACACGATGGCCCTACAGCCATCTTTAATTAGATTTCCAGGGATTCCAACGCTGTCTTCTGGCCTCCATGGGCACTGGGTATGCACATGATACACAGACATACAAGGGGGCAAAACAGTAATGCAGAAAATCAAAATAAGTAAATCTTTAAAAAAAAAAAAAAGAAGCACTAAGTAGATGGAGATTGACAGATCCCAGAAGCTAAAGCTGATCCGACCCTTTGCTGTTTCTTTAGCTTCTGCATTGCCCTTTGTTACCAGCAAGCCCTCACCCAGCTGTGTGCTCCCCGCTCTTTCCCAGGAGTCCATAAGATGTTAAGCACTCTCTCCATGCTGGTGAACTGTGTTGCCCCAGTCAGGGTTATTGATTTCCCATCATTCCAGCGGCCACATGACGCATTTCCATTAGTGTAAACACTTTTAAGACCAGCTTTTATTTTGTCCTTCCTCACATCAGTCTGCCCGGGCCGGGCATCTGTTTGTTTCCATTTTGGAGCTTAAAGGAAGGATGCTTTCGGGGTCTAGATGTACTGAAGCTTGTTTTGACAAACCTACTGCTCTCTCACTAGGGCCTTGAGGCAAGTTCTCTTAAAAGTAATAGAGTGTAGTTAACTTTTCAGACCTGCTCTGGGCCCAGATTGTTTTTTTCAGAGGTAGTAAACTAACACTTACAATTCATTGATGTATGCTGTCTTTGGAATTAGCTGGGGAAATATGGGCTTCTGAGAGTAAGTAAAAAAAAAAAAACTTGATGAAAGAAAACAAACACACTACAAAAAACACCCTTATGATTAACTATTTTTCTAGTTCTTGGATATTTGGAAATAGACAAAACACATAAAAAGTCACATTCCAGAATGAAGAGGTGGTTCAGCAGTCAAGAATCCTGGCTGAACTTGCAGAGGACCAAGGTTTGTTTCCCAGAACCCACACGGCAGCTCACAACTACCTGTCACTCCAGTTCCAGGGGGTCCTGTATCTCTTCACCTCCACAGGTACTAGGCATACATGTGGTACACATCCATCCATTCAGGCAAACACCCAAAAAGAAAAATGAATCAATCTTAAAAAGAAAAGAGAGAAAGTCACATTCTTTAAAACATTCCAGGAAAGCGTGTAGATATTGATCTGGATTTGTTTTATGGATGAGTGAGGTCTGCCCTCTCTACTATGAGTTGACAAAAGCCTCCCTCAACCAGAAAGTCAAAAAATTGACCCCACCCCCAAATTAAATAGTTTAAATAGCTCATAAGTTTATAGAACATTTTTTCTTTATGGAAACAAGACTGTGATGATGCATTTATCTAATTATTCTTTCACAATAAAAACTTGGAAGTCAGAAATGTGGTAAGAACCTGAATGATCAGAGAAGTGGCAGAGAAGCGCTCTCTCTCTCTCTCTCTCTCTCTCTCTCTCTCTCTCTCTCTCTCTCTGTCTTTCTCTCATTCCTCCATCCAAAGAAAGGTCAAGACCCTCTCTAAGCCTTGTCCTGTTACTTCCTATCTCTCTATCTATCCTCATTCCTCCAAAACCTCTATGGTTAATTTTGGTCAGTTGGTAGCTAGCTCTGATTCAAAGCAAAATTTTTTGGCAGTCTTGGAAGTGTCAGAATACAATCAAAATATCCCACAACACAGTGACTATGAAGAGAAAATGCCAATGTGACATGAGGAAAGGGTAGTAACATGGGACATCTGAGAGGCAGCCTCCAGCCACCTCTGTCCTGAGCATCCTGCACAGTTACAGCCAAGCACCTCGCATGGTCTAGCTTGCCTCAGCAAACCTGCAAGTCCCCCAATATGAGAAATAATGACTCTAACTCATGCTACCATGCTTCAATTTCTTGGTCTCTGACTTGGTTGGACAAATCTCATCGCTTCTTTCTTTTAGAGGGTGATAAGAAAGATCACCCCAAACATGTCCTTGACCAATTCTCCAAACATCTTTAGTGTTTAAACTTGACCTCTTCCATAGAAGTCATGATTCTCTAGAGGAAATAACCCATGGGATGAATCTATACATATTAAGAGTGGGGTTATGAGGGTGGCTTACAGGTTGTGCTCAGACTAGCCCACCAATGGCTGTCTCCTGACAAACCCAGTAGTTGTTTAGTCAATGAAGTTGTGTCTTAGTTAGGGTTTCTATTGCTGTGAAGAGACACCATGACCATGGCAACTCTTACAAAGAAAAACATTTCATTATCATGGTGGGAAGCAAGGCAGCACTCAGGCAGACATGGTGCTACCGAAGGAGCTGAGAGCTCTTACATCTTGACTCAAAGGCAACAGCAACAGACACTGCACATGGCTTAAGTATATATGAGACCTCAAAGCCCACCCCCACAGTGACACACCTCCTCCTACAAAACCACACCTACTCCCATAAGGCCACATCTAATAGTGCCACTCCCTTTGGGGGCTGTTTTCTTTCAAAGCATCACAGGCTGGATGTCTCAGCTGGTCTTCAGTCTACAGTGAAGTCCTGAAGAGGCAGCCTCTAATACCAGAGAAGGAATGGTGTAGCAGAAGAATAGATGAATTTGCTGGTGAGGCTGAGGGCAAGTAGGCAAAGAGCAAAAGCTTCCTTCTCTCATGTTCCTTTATGTAGGCTGCAAATAGACAGTGTGACCCAGACTTAGGATGAATCTTCCCACCTCAAATGATTCACTCAAGAAAGCTCCCTCACAGGTGTGCCAGCTGCTTGTATTTCAGTTGATTTGACTCCAGATGATCAAGTTGACAACTAAGATTAGCCATCATATCCACTCTCTCTAATTATCTACTTTCTTCTTTTCTTTGTGGCCTTTGCAAAAAGCTTCAGCGTTGTGTTAATATTTCCACAGTCTCTCTATACCTGGATAATAAAGACAAAGCAAAACATCCAGTTTTTCCCTCATAACTAATGTTAGAGTGATACATAATGCCCACTGTGTTGTTTCTCTTACCTAAATCCATCTCATGCTTCTTCCAGGAAACACAAAAGAGATTTTCATGTCTTTTTAGCTTTCAGAGAGCATCATTCATCATTTTAACAAACACTTGAGTTCTTCGTATATGCTGAGCCGAGTTCATGTGTTGAGAATACAGCAGTTATCAAAACAGGGAAAAGTCACCGGAGCTCCCTGGAGCTTACATTTCAGGGGGATGACTGGAATGGCAAATAAATACGCAGAGCCTACTGTATAACAAGGCTTCCGAGAATTAATTCAGCCAAGTGCTACTATGGCAACTTTGCCAATCAGAAGCAAAGGATTGCTGGGGAGAAATGAGGCTCTCTAGTTTCTTAATAAGAAACAGAAATGTCACCCAGAGCATAAGAACAATTCTTCGGGCCACCTCTGCTCACTGTCATCTGAAATCCTGTTGCTAGGACACTGTTAAGCTTAGGAAAGCTAAGGACACTTTGCAAGCTGGTATTTTTTTTTTTTTTTAGTGGAATGATGTTCTGATAGTCACATTTTGAATTCAGTTCTGAAATATGCATGAATAGAGATTAGCTAGAAAATAAATGTGTCTGTAAAGTTGACTTTGAAATCATCTGAAGCTTGATAATCTAATGCTATAAAAAGAAGATAAATAAACTATTAAATGGGGGACGAGTTGACATTTTAGAGTAACATTTTAGAATCTATTATCAATTCTAACATGACATACCTGTTGCACTCATGGACTTACTACACTATGATTGCTCCACAAGACTCACACGAGATGAGGACCGTCAGCATTGGGCATGGGCAAGGGACATACTAAGCCTCGCTCTTCTTGAGGCTCTATGTGCAGATAGTGGTTACTGGGGAAAATGTGTCATTGTCTATAGTGATGTAGTCACTGACACGTTGCCCATGTTCTGATGAGGACCTTCTCCTTCATTCTTATCTAAGCAACCGTAATCAAACTCACTGGGTTCCAAAACCAGCTATCAGTGTGGGAGGAGAGGGCGAGGGGGGTAATGATCAAAAGTCACCATATATGTGGACAAAACTGCCAGGTAGTAAGTAGAAATTTTTGTGGTTTCTAATTTAAAAGGTTATCAATTTTTCAGTAAAAGCTATTCTTTCCCTTAATTACTTCAAAAAACCAATTGATCAATTGTTAACCCAGAAAATAGGACTTTTCTTTTATTCTGGCTTTAGTTTCTTGGGGTAAAGTAATAACTGCTGTTAGATTTTTAGCCTCAATTTCTTACCTACAGAGAAATGAGGAATCATCATTTTACCACCAGGGAACTCAAAACCAAGCTTGAGTTCTTCTGAAGGACACCCAGATCTCTTCCTTGACATTGACGCTCAACAAGGAAGCACTGAGAAATGATGGACTCTGAAATGTCCCAAGACCATACTGTCCATATGCACAATACCGCCCCCAAATCCTGCCCAAATATAGTGTATGAATACCAGGGGTCAGGGACTGATTTTCATTGCTATAGACAGAAGTAGAAAATAGTAAGCAATAGAAGTAGATAAATGTAATGGCACTGCTTACTATTTTATATGGAAAATATGCTTATCTGAATGAATATTAACCATACCTCAACTGTGAACAGATGTGGAGTCAGAGACGTGTCCATGCTGTGTACAACATCATGAGCTGTTGAGAACTGGAGCATCTTGATGCTGTGTGTCTAACTCACTTTAATCACTGATAGAGCTCTGCTGTTGCTGATATCTTTAATAGCAGAGAGCAATACCAAGGCCTCAATTCCTAAACATTGATAGCAATTCTCTAAGAACAAAATAAATGAACACTTTATAATATGCCATGCCAGGAGGATGAGTTTGTCTATCCTGGGCTTGTTAGTTGAATATATTTTACCTGGTCACTCTCCACATACTTTATATCCTTAATTCAAAATATGTCCTTGACAGTCATATTGAAAGTGAGCAAGCCGTGACTCATAACAGCTCTATACAATGTGTATATAAACCCGGCTGTGCATTCATGGTGTCAATGCCATGACAGCCCCTGTGTTTGCTATCAATCACTCATCTGTTCCTTGACCCACTCACTGGCATCTTGTTAGAACGCAACAGTCCCCAGGGAAGTTGTTTGTGGAGAAAGAGTTACAGTTGGTCTTGTTCACTTTAGGGTGAGATGATTCTAATAATACCCACCCAAAGAAGGGAGGTAGGTCCAAGCCCCCATGCACTGGCTCCTAGTGGAAGAAAGCTGATGATCATGGCTGATTCTCAGGCAAGGCACACAAAGCTGGTTAAAAATGTCAGTACTGGAGCCAGGTGGTGCTGGCACATGCCTTTAATGCCAGCACTCAGGAGGCAGAGCCAGGCAGATCTCTGTGAGTTTGAGGCCAGCCTGGTCTACAGAGTGAGATCTAGGACCGGCACTAAAACAATACAGAGAAACCCTGTCTCGAAAACAAACACATGGACAAAAAAAAAACAGCAACAAAAAATGTCAGCACTGAAATAAAACCAAAGACCATGCTACTTTTCTATGGTTAGAGAAAGCCTGAATGAACAGAAAGCATGCATTCTTTGGAGCTAGAATGTCTAAGCTCTGCTGCATGATGCCTGTGATACTTGGGACTAGTGATTCCACATCTCTGAGTCAAATTTCTCATCTACACACACACACACACACACACACACACACACCTCCATTATTTCTGGAGTTACCACAGGGAGACTCCCATTGAAAGAGAAACCAGAATGCACCTTTTTCCCCCATCTTCCTGATGAGGCCACTGTAACATGTCCCTGGGAGAGGTGCCCCTCCCTTATGTCCTTTCTGAGTGGCCTCTAGACCTTTGCTCTGACCTAAGCCCTGGTCAAAGGCATCAAGGTGACTGGTACTATGCAATGGATGGGGACAGATAGGGAGAGATGGCATCCTTCCTTTCTTTATCATAGCTGGGGTGAAACATCATCAGTTTCCTCTGCTTGTCTCTCAAGATAAAACTAACTGTGAATTATGCTAGAAAACTAACTCTGCTTATTGACCATTTCTGTGTTTCATCTTCTGTATCTGTCACAATGCAGGTTGCTGCCTAGGCATTCATTATGTCATGCTCTTGAGAAGGATGTGAGGTTGACAGGTTCAATACTGATTTGTAGATGAAGTGACTAAAACCTGTGGAGACAAAATGTCCCCTCCTCTCTCCCCTTTGCTCTCTGTTTTAAATACCTGTGATTCCAGGTATTTAAAACTTCAGATATCAATTTTCCAGTAAAAACTGAGCTCAAAATGGTATAGCAATTACTATGATTGCCATTCCAGTGATAGCCAAGGTAGACCAGATGTACACTGGCTCAAAATGATGAGTCTGAAGATGTATGGAAGTAAGAATTGAAATACAAAAATTAAAAGAGTAGAGAGAAAATGGGCCCAGGAAATTCAACTAAGTAAAAGAGTTTTGAAATGATAAAACATGTTTTTTATGACAAATGAAGCAAAAGGGTGAACTGAGAGATGCCATGGGTGAGTCATGATCCTCTCTGCTTATTCTCTTTTAAAGACTTACCTTACAGTTACTTTTCCTACACACACCATCCTCACATGTGAGCACCAACCCCTCTCCTTGATATCTTCTTTTTCTCTAAGTGAAGCCATCTTCCAGGAAAAAACTACAGTGGCCCTCCTCTCTCTTATTCTCCCCCGCCACTCCCTACTTCCTTAACTCATCTCTCTAGCTATGGGAAGAGTTGGGAAGTAATTGAGAAACTATTTTTTAGTAAATGAGGTTTTGACCACAGTCCAAAAGAAATCTCCAGAGATTGCTTTTAAACTAAAAGCAATTTCACACTAGCAGAAAACTGTAGTTTCATGTAAGAAAGTCTAAATCGGAGAAGTCAGAAAATGCCTTCTGACAAAGAAGCTGGTTCAAATACAGTGGCCCGATGACTACCAAGGAGTGTGCTCCATCTGCAACCAGGAAATAAAAAGACAAGTTTCAAATGATATTGTCATTCATGGAAGACAAGTAAAGATACTCTGTCACTCACTTTATTTGCAGTCATAGCTTTTATCAGTCATATTTTAGCATTCAAGGTCAGTTTCCTTTGTAGTAGTTTTTACATAACATGGAAAGAACGAAGCTCTATTGCTCTATGTGAGGAGCAAATGCTGTGCTCAACCTCAGCAATAGTTTACAGATAGAATCTCCGATCCAGTTTCCTACTAATAATTTTATACAATATATTCCAAGTCCATTTAACATTATCCATTTATTTCCTGATTCCCCTAAATCTATTTGCTACTAATGACTTAAAAACACGGAGAGGCGAGGCTGATAGATTTGCTCGCAAGCAGACAAGATGATGCTGTACCATTTAGTTTTCTTCTTGTATATGTATCTCCTATCAGCGCCTTGAGATGGTCCACTGATCTAGAGACCGCTAGATGCTGAAGACCACCACTCTTCTATGTCCTCTTCCTCGTGGCTCATTCTCTCTGAAAAGGAAACATGCATGGAAACTCTTAAGGGACCAGGCACTGTCCCTAACCTACCCTTTTCAGATGTTGGGAGTAAACTTAGCAGTTTCATGTTGACTTCGTGGACTGAAGTCTCAAATTAATATTTTGTTCATGTTTTCATATTTGAGTTTGTTAAAAACACTAACTAAACATAGTTCTGTACCTTCAGTGATCATCTAATTATTAAAAGTGAAAGTGTGTCTTTTAATGTCTATGAGCCCATCTCAAATATTCTTTTATATTTAGTGTGTTCTTATTTCATGGGCTAATTATGATTTTTTTTTTTGGATTTTTGAGACAGGGTTTCTCTGTGTAGTTTTGGTGCCTTTACTGGATCTTGCTCTGTAGACCAGGCTGGCCTTGAACTCACAGAGATCCACCTGCCTCTGCCTCCTGAGTACTGGGATTAAAGGCGTGCACCACCACTTTTAATGTAGGGCTTTAAAGTCTGAGATGTCCTGATAGAATCCTCATGGCATCAGTTTCTCTTCCCTCTGAGAAAGGGATGCCCTGTGCAGCTTTGCCTCCACGAGAAATGACAGATGACAATCTCGGGGTTCTCCCTGCTGCTCTTGCGCATCAGGTCCTCTATCTTTTGGCTCAAATTCATCTGCACAGCAAGAGAGCAGACTAGAGTTCTCTGGCATTGGAGCATTCTGCTCAGTTTCTAGAGAAGAACTTAGTAAAAATACTTTAGTAGGACTTGGGAACTTTGTCTTCTTATATAAGACATGACATTATAGGGCTCATCATTTTGAAAGTAGCCGGATAAAATATCACAGATTTATTAAGCCCAGATCACTTACCTCTTTTGTCTAAAAATGTAAAGATCCATACACAGTAGAGACAGACAGTAGAGACCTAAACCTAAGTCATTTCCATACTTGCTTCTAATTACTGGATTAGAAAAAAAATTAAAATTGGAATAATGACATAATTTTTATTTTTCATGCATAATAATACCCAATGTACACAAAATAGTAATTTTCAAGTGAAATAGATATACCCAGCAGCTGACTAAAAATAAATGATTTTTTAAAAAGTGCTTAGAGGAAGTCAGTTCAAGGTGCCTTGCTGCTTAAGAAGAAGCAAAGCAGATCACAGATACGCTTTCGTGTTGCCTTTTTGACAGGACTGGGAATTCCCACACTTCATGGGAGATGTTGACGTGAATCTTCCCGGCTTGCACACTCCTCACATGCAGTTCAAGATCCCCTTCTTCCAGAAGATCTTCAAGGAGGAGTACCGCATCCACATAACAGGTGTGTTGTGTGACTCAGAACACCGTTGGTCTGTTCCCTGTCTCATGTTTTCTATACAAACTGAACCACTGATGG